AAGGGGAAACATGCTGTGGGGGAGATAGCAGTTCTGAATGGAAAGGCATCAAGTAAAGTAAGGAACAACATAACTCGAACATCAACAAGGAACAGAAATCAACAGTTTGCACGGCATCACCCTTCGTGCTTTTACTCTCGTCATCACCAAAACAATTATTTATCAAAGATGTGCACGGCATCACCCTTCGTGCTTTTACTCTCTTTCCTCACCATGTAATCAATACAATCGGCACGGAATGGTACATCGTGCGGCACGGCATCACCCTTCATGCTTTACACTCTTTCCTCATAATATCAACAATGCACGGCATCACCCTTCGTGCTTTAACACTCTTCCTCACCCAAACAACAATCACAAACAAGGGGCTAGGGAATAAACAAGATCATATAGAAATCCTAGCAAGGGAACAACAATTAAACAATTAGATCCCGGCAAGGGAACAACAATTAAATAAGTAAATCCCGGCAAGGGAACATTTCAATAACTCTTTCTCTATCTTTCACTTCTATTTCATAACTCACTTTACCACTTGAGCCAATGCTCCAAGGGTTCAATCATCTCATATACTTTCACAATTCATAATATAACTCGAGCCAATGCTCCAAGGGTTCAATCATCTCATATACTTTCACAATTCATAATATAACTCGAGCTAATGCTCCAAGATGTTCAAAGGTCACCATTCCTTCCACAAATTTTTCACAACAACTAGAAATCATCACCAAGGCTTGAAGAATACAACGAAATCAAGATATTCACAATATAAAGACTCACGGTCATGCTAGACACCGACGTATAGATACTCGTCACCATGCCTATACGTCGTACACAACGAATATCACATAGCAAATAGGACTCAACTCCTAATCCCTAAAGCTAAGGTTAGACCAAACACTTACCTCGAACTTTCACGGCCAACTCAAGTTTTAATTATAGCTTTACCCCTTGATTCCTCCGCCAATTCGCTCGTATCTAGCCACAAGTTACTTAATTACATCAATAAACGCTAAATGAATCAATTTGAATGCATGAAAATGAGTTTTCCAAAGTTTTACCAAAAAGTCAAAATTTCCCCCGGGCCCATGTGGTCAAAACCCGAGGTTCGAACCAAAACCCGATTACCGATTACCCATTCCCCACGAGCTCAAATATGTAATTTGTTTTGAAATCGGACCTCAAATCGAGGTCCGAATCCCTAATTTTTGAAAAACCTAGGTTCTACCCTAAACACCCAACTTCCCCCATGAAAATTATTGATTTGAAGTTGAAATCATGTTAAAAGATGTTAATGACCGAAGAAAACTAGTTAAAAATGACTTACAATTGATTTGGAGAAGAAATGTTGTTTGAAAAATCGCCTCTTATGTTTTTGGGGTCTTAATAAATGAAAAATAACTGAAAATCCCGTCTAAATATACTGCCCTCAGATGCCCTGTGTGGACCGCACAAAATCAACTGCGGCCGCACAGGCTTCCTGTGTTCTACAGTGACAGGTTTTAGTATTTTGGCCATAACTTTCTCTAAAGATGTCCAAATTGTGATTTCTTTACCTTTCTGGAAACTAGACGCGAAGGGCTACAACTTTCGTTTTTAAATCATCTCAAAATTCCTTATAGATCAAAAGATATAGGCTTCCGAAGTCGGACCAGTAAATTATTCTTCACCGCGGACCGCACCAAAACTAGTGCGGCCGCACAGGCCTCTCCGCGGCAGCAGTCCATATCGTGCGGACCGCACTGGCCTGTTCAGAGGTCCTCCACCTCTCTGAGCCTGCAACAGCTCTGTTTTTAAGCCTAAGACATCCCGGAACCTACCCGAAACTCACTCGAGCCCTCGGAACTCCAAACTAAGTGTACACAAAACCTCAAAAATATCCTACGAACTTATTCGTGTAATCAAATCATCAAAATAACATCATGAACATCAAATTAAATCTCGAGATCAATGAAATTTTCTCAAAACTTCTTTAAACATCAATTTTGCAATTTAAGTCCGAATCACGTCAAATGGCATCCATTTTTTACCAAATTCCACAGAAACGTTTTGAATCATATATAAGACCTGTACCGGGCGCCGAAACATACGGGCCCGATACCATCATTTTCTAAGCAAACTTCATTTCAAATTTCTTTAAACAATTTCAGAAAACAATTTTCTTTAAAAATTTATTTCTCGGGCTTGGGACCTCGGAATCGGATTCCGGGCATACGCCCAGGTCCCATATTTTCCTACGGACTCTCCGGGACCGTCAAATCACGGGTCCGGGTCCGTTTAGCCAAAACGTTGATCGAAGTCAAATTTATTCATTTTACAGTCAAAACTTATCATTTTTCACAAATTTTCACATCTAAGCTTTTCGGCTACGCGTCTGGACTGTGCACGCAAACCGAGGTGGTGTTAAGGGAGATTTTTTAAGGCCTCGGAACGTAGAATTTCATTGCAACACAAGTGATGACCTTTTGGGTCATCACAGCAAAACACCCTTGTTCTTGTAGTAGCCTTGCCTTACTTTTGTAGTAATTAGACCATTGAATCCTATGAAAAAACACACTTGTGAAGATTGAACACCAAATTATCTTTAATGAGTCCCAGGCACGTCTAAGTTTTGGAAATTTCCATAAACTTTTATCAGATGGAATTAAAAGTCTTCCCATTTGTCTAAGCCTTGATGTGCATTACCTGATAGTTGTGCTGGTGAAAGTTTATCCGGTAGATTACTGGAGGCGTGTGCAGCTGACCCTAACACTACCATTATTTGAATTTAAAAAGAAAAGATCTAGTAGGGTCAAGTAACTTATTAGTGATAGATTTGAAGATTCTCCATTCCCAGGAGGATAGTTGCTGATCTTAAAATGGGAGGCTCAGAGCTAACTTGAACTACATTTGTTTGGAGCCAACAATTTGGTCATCGGATAAATTTAATCTCCTAAAGTGGTTATGAGTTCCAAGCTTGTATTACTCTGCCTTGACTTTTAAATCCAATTAAGATATTGAATATTCTTCTGGTCTTTTCAGAAATTTACGCTAGACTTTTTATCCATCCATGATCGATGATATCCAATTGGAAGAAGTACATAACTCTTTGCTTTACATTTCTTTCACTTGCATTTCCATTGCAAGGATATGAACTACTTGATACATCTAGTGACAACAGAAGAATTTCGGGGAGTTGCCTTTTTAGATTTCCAGTAGTTTCCAGATATCCATCCCTACTGGTGGTGTTTCATTCCTTTTTTCTTCCTCTCTGCCCTGGCATAGGGGGGAGGAGGAGAGAGTTCTATGTTTGTGTTCAGTTGGCAAATTACTTTCCTTAATGGAATCTCTTGAATTGTTTCTTAGAGTAATGCTCTCACCCTTCTTTCCTAGTCTAGCCCGCTTTTATTTGTTTTATTCATGAGAAAGATATCTGCGTTGATATTGCTACTTATATTTGTGACTATTGCAGGCATGCGGTCAAGAAAAGGAAGATGTCCCTCCCACTTTTGGGCTTGCTAGTGGAAATGTTTGCCTTGTGAAATCAATGGAGAAGTGGGAAGAGAAGATGTCTGAAACTAGTAACAGTGGCAAGATCGTAAGTTTCTTTATCAATTGTGGCTTTCTGCTTAGCCATAGCAGCACAAAATCTTTGTTTTCAAATTTCAGTTACATCCTCAGTTTCATGATCCAGCATCATGTTTCATCTGCATATTTTCTTAGCAAAAGCATAAATTCTACACAAAACCTGCAAATATGTCAAAAATCAAAATCACCCTTCTCTTTTTCCCTTTCACTGGTAGTTGTGTATATTTGTTGTGAATGCCTGGTTAATCTTCAGAATATTTTGCTCCCGCCGAGTAACACTATTCTTTACTTCTATCTTCCAACAGATGGTGGTAAATTTCAGTGCGTCATGGTGTAACCCCTGTAGAACAGCAGCACCAGCCTATCATGAACTTGCTGATAAATACACTTCAATAGTATTTCTAACCGTGGATGTCGATGAGTTAGCTGTAAGTTTCCAAATCTTTCTAATCATCGTCTTTTATTTGCATGATCTCAGTTTATAGCATCGTCATTTATGATGCCTACTGTTTTTCATATTACAACTATTTAAGTGTGTAATAGCCTGTTTGGCCAAGCTGGAAAAATCAGCTTATTTTGAAAAGTGCTTTTCGCAAACGTGTAGGAAGCAACGATCTCCTCTAATTACAGACAAATATTGGCAGACTGTAAATTGTTGGTTATGGCTTGATGCAGGAGTTAAGTACTTCCTGGGACATAAAAGCTACTCCAACCTTCATTTTCTTTAGAGATGGACGGCAAGTGGACAAACTAGTAGGTGGCAACAAGCAAGAGCTACAAAAGAAGACGGCGAATATCGCCGAGTCTACAAGGTCCCCGGGTTGATATACTGTTGCTTCACTGCAGTAGGAAAAATATGAACGGGAAAATGCTATTATAAGAATTCTGGTTTTGTCACTTTAATTTTGCGTTTTACTGCTGCAACAACATTTTTACGTGTTTCTATGCATATTAAGCAAAGTACTCGGATATTTAAAGGAAGTAAACTTTGCAGCTTGGAAAGGAAACTCGTATGGGGCTACAGCATAGTTTTGTTACCCCAAACGCGAGGAAGTTAAGGGCGATACAGTTACTGAGAGAAACACATATGCTGTAGTTTTACTTATCCTCAATCTGTAGTTTACTCTCCAGAACTTAAGAAATCTGAAATAAATGAGAACCTATTACTGCTTGGATTTCTTCTTCCGTATGGGCAGGAGATCCATACAGAAACTATGTATCGTGGTGTTTAGCACATACGCGAATCCAAGGTTCTAGCATGGAGGCGTGGAAGATCATTGATGTTTTCCTCTTTGAAAGGTTATATCTCAGGAGAAGATGGAGGATTTGATGTCTTTGACAAAGCCAGCCAGTGGACAAAGGAACACAGGATGAGGAAAGGATGTGGCTTTCAGTAGGGAACAATGAAATAATAGGCTATGACTTCAAAAATTCAATTGCAAAACACACTTCATTATTGATGTCATTCATTTATATACATACCAGCCAAGTAAATTAAAATATACACACTTCTTACGCAATACTTACTGGTGTTGCAGAAAGGTAGATGATAAACATAGAGTTTTAAATCCTGGTAGGGTTCTTGTACAAGCAAATATACTTAAATATCCATTGCAATGTTAGAACAGCATATGAGCACATTCCTCATAGCCTTGGCCGATGTACAACATAGTCAAGAAATAAATAGCAGGGGAATTAAAGAAAACATCCAACGCCTTGGAAACCATAATAGGACTAAGAGAGACAACTAGCTTAGATGATTTATTCTTCAACTGCAGGCCTCACGTAACTGAAACCCTTGAATGGGTTCTCACCAGATTTTGGACTAGCAGCAGGAGAATCTAGTAAAGGCATGCTGGTCCATTGCTCCTCAAAATTGGCAACACACAGCTTCCCCAATACTTGGGGACAGAAACTTGGTTGAATTTCTCGAGCATCTAACTTCTTCCAATTGATAGACCTGAACCATTTGTGACTCTTTATCTCATCATAACCTCTTAATCCACTCCCAAGGCGCTTGCTTGCCTCCTTGTGTAGCAGCTGTAGAAATACAAACACATAAGAATCGTCTAGTTTCCACTTTCCAAGTTCTGAACGCCAGTGACTATATGATAAATAGATTATACCATCATGATGGATGGTATTATACACTAATTGATTCAAAACACTATCCAAGAAGTAGGGGCTTCCAAATAATCCTAAGTAAATCATGACAACACACCATTAAACTCTTATTTTGAAGTTACTTTTCTTATACTAGAAATGTCTTGCAAGTAGCACTATTTTGATGAAAATTGATCCCTCTAGAATATTTCGCTTCCTATACTGCCCCTAATTAATTAACTTGCACATAGAGATATACTTTAGAGCATTACTTTTGTTTGCAACTTATCTCAATCTTTTAAAGGAAATATCAACATATAACACATTTTTACCTTTTATGATACCTCTTCATTTTTCTGGGAAAACAAAACATGACGCAACTTCTTAGCTTCATCCTTTTAGCATAAACAAACATATAATAACATAATTCTTATGTGACATGCAATCTGAAGTATTTAAGGGACAACAAGACATACAGTGTCTATTATCTTATAAAAAAGAAGTGTCTACCATTGACGATTATCAGTAAGATGGTACACTTTCATATCATAGAATGAAAATGTAGCTTACCCCTTTCAACAATGAATGTGCATCGCTAGACAAAAATGCTGGCAGCTTAATCTTGTCCTTGATAATCTTCTGTTGAACTTTCTGTCGGTTCCCACCAACAAATGGAGGCTGAAAAGAGTCACATGAGAAAAAGATTAAATTATGAAATACAACTTATACAAAGTTAAGCATAAAAAGGATGTCAATATTAAGCGAGTAATATAGATTCTTAATTAAGTTGTAAAAGAAATTTAATTAAAGTCAGACAAATGTGTACAATAAAATATAAAATATTTGCAAGGACGAGGTGCAAAAGAGAGTAAAAAGTGGCATGATGATCTGGTATCCAGCAATTTTACAGTTATATCTGGTCAACTCCAAACTTCAGATGATGAGTCTATCAGATTAGACCAATAATTTCCCTATCTTTTAACATGCTGATTACTTAATCCTTGTATTTTAGACTACTATTGCAATATTGAACAAAATAACAAACCTTTCCCGTCAGCATCTCGTACAATAGAACTCCCACGCTCCACCAGTCTGCAGCCTTGTCATGACCTTTACCAAGAACAATTTCAGGTGCCATATATTCGATTGTTCCGCACAAAGAGTTGGATCTCGTGTTCTCATCGAATTGCTTGGCAAGGCCAAAATCAGTCAGTAATACCTGCCCCAAATGTATTACATAAGGTCAATGGAGGACAACCGAGAAGTTTTTCAAAATCCTTGTGAAACAAAAACCACAAAGTTTTTTCCATTTATCCACCACTAGAACTAAAACCTAGTTGATGGTCTTTCGGTGGAAACTAAAGAAAGTAATCAGAAACCATCAAAAAACAGGGTGCAGTGTTAAATAAGCGAGATGAAAAAAGGGATATCTTACATGACCATCAGCATCCAAAAGGATATTTTCTGGTTTAAGATCCCGGTGCATTATGCCACTAGAATGGAGGTGAGAAACAGCTGAAACAATCTCAGCAGTGTAGATGCGCGCCAAATCCTCCCTGAAAAGAAGCAAGTTAGCTAGCTGCTTGAACCAGATAATTCCTAGATTATTCTGAAGGGGTATTATACCTGAATAGCCCTTGCCTATGGAGTTGAAAGAAAAGGTGTCCCCCGTTAATAAAGTCAAGCACAAGGTATAGTCTGTGTTTGGTCTGCGTTAAGAGAAAATGCATAAAGATAAATCAATAATACTTAGAAGTGTTATATAGTGTAACCTAATAAGATATATATTAAGGAAACATGGATGGAGTTCACAGTCAAGAGCCAACTTTGAGGTTTTAACTTCCTCATCATAGCGGGCTCGAGGTGCATAAAATGTATGCAACTCCAAACAGCTTCTATTATAAAGATCAATATACATAAAACTTGTAGCAACACAATCACCTGGAAAGAGTATCTGAGCCGCACAACAAATGGATGATCTATTTTTGTCAATATATCCCTCTCTGTTTTCATGTACTCAGCATGATCTTTCTCTAGAATCTTATCCTTCCGCATAACCTTCATTGCAAGAATTTCAGAAGTCCCAATTTTCCTCACCTGATATACTTTTGCAAATGCACCTTGCCCAACAACTTTTAAGACTTCAAAATCATCAAGTCCCACAGACCTTGGGATACTAACATCAGCATGAACTCCAGATTTACCAGTAACAGCGGTCTCAAGAGTAGCTTCCTCAAGATGATCTTTGGTCTCTCCATTATCTCCCTCCACAACCTCCAGCAAGTGCTCATTCTCACAGTGTGTAAGTTTGCTAAGCTTCAATGACTGACTGACATAGTTTGTTGGACCGACAAAGGAATGGGAGCGGCTATAAATTACAGGTGGTTCTTCATATATGAATCCATTTGTTTCTGACATTGCAACATTCTCAGAGCTCAAAACTTGAGCTGGAGCTGGACCAAATATGTCGGAGAAATCCGAATCAACATCATCCAGTGATATGACATTGGGGTGTTGCAATGGGAGCAGCACGTGGTTGTGGATAGGCTTCCCAGTTGGTTGCGAAATTTGAGCGGAAACCATTTTTACCTGAAGTTACCCAAGGAGGGAGGGAGTATAGCAGATCAACCCCTACTTCTGCACGGCTACAAGAGAACTACCCTTGAAGGTCCGAAATGAAAATGGATGAAGGACACCTCACGATAGCCTTGAAAAGAAGGAAGTTCTCAAATGCAACAAGTGCTCCAAAAAATCTGGGGAAGAGGCAGACTAGAATCCAGAAAAAGGAGCTGCTCTCGTTTCCCGCTTTACAGGAAAGAGTGGCTGCAGCAGTACTTCTCGAATTCATGAAGAACATGCAAACTACGAGGTGTTTATTGTGCCTAAGACCCCTGGAAGATCAAAGAAAATTGTCAGCGTCTCAACAGAACCAGAATAACATTGACTAGCAACCTAACTTTAAAAAAAACTTCACTGAACGTTAAAACAAAGAAGAACAAGATAGGAAGGAAATCAAAGGAAAGTAGAGTCAATCAGTAGTAGGCATAGAACTTTCTTTCACTTGTTCAGAGTAGGCAGGAGAAGAGACAAAGCTTCAATCTTCATAAATAAAAGGGGGAAAAGATAAAAACTAAAGAAGCCCTTGCATCTGGATAAAATAATGGAGCTAGCAATGATTCAGACTCAGTTAAATGCAATTCCACGTTTTTTAAAAGCAGAACATCTAAAATCTGTATCAAGTGCAAAAGAACACATTAAAATCTCTTACAATCTTATGTACACAAAACGAATCCTTCAACTGGGAGATGATATTCCAACACCCAGGGGCGGAACTCCAATTATCACAGATCGCCAGAAAATTAGATTGTGGATACAAGTTCAAAGCTATATATATATATATATATATATATATATATATATATATATATATATATATATATATATATATATATATATAAAATCTTGATTATCCTTGAATACCCTTCGCAAAATTCCCGATTTTGCCACTGAACCCATAGTCAAAACTATCTTAACAGTTAATCAGACCTACCTATGCTGATAGCTCAATATGAACAACCAAAAAGTTTAAACGGTATCAATTGATTAACTAATCTGATCACGGTACACACTTTACCACGCAATACAAACCCTAAAACTGATAAAAATCTCACCCTAGAGCTCCTGATTCCCAATCTGAATGCAAAATGCATCAAAGTTCAAATTTTAGCTTAAGATAACAAATGAAAAAACATAAATATCGTAATAGATGATCAAATCAATTCCACCAAAAATTCCAATTTCAACAAATCAATCACTAGTTCACTACAAACACAAGAAATTAATGGCCGGAATACAGCGAAATACAAAAATACTGATAAAACAGTTCAAATAACAATGAAAATTCCAACTCCACGAAGCCCTAATAGTACTAACTTAACATGCAATGAAAAAAGGAAGTAAAAATTAATCATATCATATGATTCAGAAAGGAAGGAAACTTACCTGAATGAAATTGCGGAAGGAATGGAAAGAGAGAAGATATATGATGAAGGTCGCGTGGCCGCTTATAACCAACTTTGAACTGTAATTTAACTTGGGTTTAAATTGCGGTTGTGGATTACGTGGCACGTTTTGAGTGGTTTCTTCGAATTTGAATCCGAGTCAAGATAGGCTTGCTTCTAAAAAAAATCCTTTTCTTCTTTTCGTGTTTGGAAAACGTTAGGGCCTAGGGGCAATGCCAACTCAACAAAGGATTACTTCTTCACGGAACCTTAAAGTGTTATATTTACTTTCATACCCTCGGGTCTAGTGGAGATTATTCGTTATATTCGTAGTTGGATTTGTGGCATATTCCCACTTCCCCGAAAGCATAACCCTTTTCTTATTTGCGTACCACAAGAAAGAAAAATAGCCCGTTTGGTCAAGCTACAAAAATCGGCTTATTTTAAGAAGTGTTTTTTTTTAAAAGTGTTTTTCTCAAAAGTACTTTTGGTGAGAAGCACTTTGTGTTTGGCTAATTAGTTTGAAAAGTACTTCTGAGCAGCAATTAGTGTTTGGCCAAGCTTTAAAAAACTGCTTCTAAGTATATTTTTCTCAAAAGTGCTTCTCAAAAAAGTGCTTTTGGAGAGAAGCTACTTTTTTCTGCTTCTCCAAAACTGCTTCTGCTTCTCCTCAAAAGCACTTTTTTCCTTCCAAAAGCTTGGCCAAACACCTCAATTTTTGGCCAAAAGCACTTTTGGCAAAAAAAAAAAGCACTTTTGACCAAAAAGAAGCTTGGCCAAACAGGCTATAACTCTTTTAGTGAGTTCTCTATTTTCTACTTTAATTGAAATTTTTTTATGGCTTTTGGAGTATAAACTTGCTTTTGTTTTGTGTGTGTGTGTTTTTTATCTAAAGCTTGGATAAAATTTTGGATTTGAACATGGAATTCATTGTTTTTAGCGGGAAAAAAAAAAAGAAGGAATTTTCTTTTCTTTTTTCATTTATCTTTTCAAATTTTATTTTTCTTTTTTCAAATTTATTACCGTTTTATATATAATTATTTTTTAATAACAATTGTGCTTGTTCTATAAAAGTGTTTGAGTAGCTTTTTTTTTTTTTGGAGCAACTCCAACTATTTCTAACAAATTGTGACTTTTTCATCAATCTATCTATCTATATCTATCTATCTATCTATCTACCTTAAATTGCGTGGGGTGGCCACTTTTTAAAGTGGTATTTACTTTTTATCCAGCATTTTCAATGCTTAGCAATAGTAGCCACTAGTCTATTAAAATTAATATGAAAAGACTGTGTTACCCTTTCTTCTACGTCTTTCGGGAGAAGAATTGTGCAATTAGACTCTTTCTCATCTGTTGGATTGACGGACGCATCAGAGTTCCTCCTCGAATCATCAAGGGTTAAGTTCCTTTTTGCAATGGAAAGACTTGACTACAGCGATCTCATTTGTTTCTGCCATGTTTCTTCCATGGATTTCATTTTCAACTCATACTCTGACCAGCGATTCTCATACTCTGACCAACGATTCTCATAAATTGCAATTATTATTATTATTATTTTACTGTGAAAAGATACAAATAACGCTTGGTTTTCTGCTACATTATGGATCCTGAACTTACAGTTACAAGTTCAAAAGTTAAGGACACTTGGTCCTGAACTTCGAGTTCCAAGTTCAAAAGTTAAAGACACTTGGTCCTGAACTTAGAATTACAAGTTCAAAAGTTAAGGACACTTGGTCCTGAACTTAGACTAACAAGCTCAAAAGTTAAGGACAATAGGTCCTGAACTTACAGTTACAAGTTCAAAAGTTAAGGACAATAGGTCCTGAAGTCCTGAACTTAGACTAACAAGCTCAAAAGTTAAGGTCAATAGGTCCTGAACTTAGTCTAAGAAGCCCAAAAGTTAAGGACAATAGGTCCTGAACTTACAGTTACAAGTTCAAAAGTTAAGGACAATAGGTCCTGAAGTCCTGAACTTGGACTAACAAGCTCAAAAGTTAAGGACAATAGGTCCTGAACTTAGGCTAAGAAGCCCAAAAGTTAAGGACAATACTTAGGCTAAGAAGCCCAAAAGTTAAGGACAATAGGTCCTGAACTTAGACTAACAAGCTCAAAAGTTAAGGATACTTGGTCCTAAACTTACAGTTACAAGTTCAAAAGTTAAGGACATGTAGTCCTGAAGTTAAGTTCAAAAGTTAAGGACATATAGTCCTGAAGTCCTGAAGTTAAGTTCAAAAGTTAAGGACATGTAGTCCTGAACTTAGAGTTACAAGTTCAAAAGTTAAGGACATGTAGTCCTGAAGTTAAGTTCAAAAGTTAAGGACATGAGCAGAAGGGTATTTTCGTCCGGGCAGTTAAAGTTTATTAAAGCAGTGGCTAAAGACTAAAGACATTCTAAACAGTGGCTTAAAAGTAAATACATGTGTTATTAGTGGCTAACCGTGCACTTCCCCCATCTATCTATCTATCTATATTATTATAAAATCTATCTATCTATATTTATTATAAAAAGATGAATATTTCTGACTAAATGTTGAACGACCAAAATATCTTCAAAATATTAACTGACTTTTATAACCTTAAAAGGCTAAATTTTATCTTTCAAAGAAACAAATAATGTACTGGACAAAATTGTAATATTTAAAAGTTCTCCTAATATTCAGAACTTCGAATTCAGCTAAAATTAAAATACTGAAACTACGCACTTGGATGGGTTTTTAAAATTCAATTTAGTTAAGGACTCTTTCCTTGTAAATAATTTGATCTCAACTAAAACATTGTTAATTTGAATTGCAGAAGATATCAGAAAAGCTCCCCTAGCCCACGTGACATCTGCCAAAACTGCTTGAGTCATTAATTATCAAGTAATTAAGTTTACTCGAAAACCATTTAGGTTTGCATGTGCAATTTGATTTCATCTAGACAACGTATTGCATCTATCTTTTATAAATAATACAATTGACTCCTAAATTTCAGAACAAAAAATCCCTTGTGATTTAACTATTTTTTCATTGTTTGTCTTAGAAAATAGGAATGCTTTCTTGCACTTCTTTTTAATTAATTTTTAGTAATGTGTATTTTTAATTTTTAGGTCATTATAATGATACCACAAAAAAGGGGGGTTATTGTGGCAGTTAATATTGCGTATAGCGGCGGTTAAATCGCCATAATTACCTGCACCGCTATCGCCAAAACGTAATACGGCGGTTCAATGTGCTAAATAACAGCCAGAATATGCACCAGCTGTTATTGGCTATTTTATTGCTTATAGCGGCGGTTCAACACCAGTAAACTGCTATTGTTTAATATGGCGGTTTTAGCCGCCGTTATTGCTTTAAGTGTATAAAATACTATTTTTATTATATAATATTTTGGCAATTTACACCTCCATTGTTATAATATTTTCGTTTTAACAATTCAATTTTGTAATTCCACATCTAAATCCTTTTTATTGCATCCTTGTGTATTCATCATTCTAATTTTGACACAAATGTAAAAAGTCAAATAAATATTCATCATATAAAGTATAGGTACTCAAAAATACATCATCCAGATTGTTACTTTCGAAGTTATTCAGCAAGAATACCCAAAAAATAAAGTTCATCCTAATTAACAACGATTACTAATTGTCAATTCGCTCAATCTACTTCCATCGAAGGATCTTCGTTGCCCAATTGGTGAAGGAGCACCACTTCCTAAATTGTGTGTCTGCCAAAAGACGAAGAAATTAGCGATTTCATATCAGAAGATGAGATAGAAGGAAGCAAACATTATAGCCAATACAATATCGAACTGATATCACCAAACAATATCAAATTGACACTCATTGAAAAGAGTGGAGATTGCAAGAGAAAGAGAGATTCAAAACTAGAGCTCAAACCAGCCCCAAAACCCATGTAAAACTACATGAAAACATACCTTAAACCACCAGAAAATAGCTGCCAAAATCAGCCCAAAACTACCAAAAAGGTCCCTTTTCTCTCATTAACAATACTCCATTTCTTTACCATTTTTCTCCATTAAACACCCATAATACCAGCCGTTAATGCGCAGCAAAACAACCTGTGAAATCAACACCATTAAAGCACCGAAAACGACCTCAAAATAGCTCCAAAAACGAGCTAAAAAGTAACCCCAAACTCACCAAAAACCACCAGCACAATCCCAGCCATAACTCACCAAAAATCAGTTTAAAAGGGGGGCCAAAACAGCCCCAAAAAGATCCGAAACAGCATCTAAAAAGTGCTGCCAACTTCACCTCAAAACAGTCTGGAAACACATCCATAAGGCCATCAAAATACCTTTGAAACCCAGCACCAAAATAACTGAAAAGCCAACCCCCAATAGCCGTAAAATCACCCCAAAGCTTCAGCAAAACATTCTTTGATCAGCAAAACCCCAAAGTTAACCTTCTTATAGACAAACTGAAGGAAACAACATTCAGGGTACACCAACCTATCAACGTTCAATAGTCTAAAATTTCTCCGAAAGAACATACAGGTTCAACAGGAAACTGAACTGTCGAGATTAAATATTCAAAGCTAGTTACAGTTCAGCAGCTTTGAAACATTAACATCTAAAATAATGTCAAGTTGCACTTCTGCTTTAATTAATCAAAACAACAAAGAAGGAAAAAAAAAGATAGAAGTAGAAGCACAAGATGAGGAGGAGGAAGAAGTACCTTTGTTTCGGGTTTCAAACGGTAGTTAACATACAGTGCGCATTGGTCCATGGGAATTCCTCTGGAGAATTCTTGATGATATCTTCACTACTCAATAATAGATCATCAGCCTCACGCCATAGTTTAAGCCTGAATTCCTTCCATTTTTTGTTAAGAGAATTATCAATCTATTTTTTACCCTCTGCGGATCAATCCTAAAGAAAATCCGAGCCTTCAAAAAAACGATTTATGTTAGTTTGCTGGGGTTACATATATAACTACAATATACAATTAAACGCAATCCATTCTCCAGGTTATGAACATCCATAAGCTTCAATCTAACACTTTTTATCACTTGATACAAATAAATTTATATGAAATACTGAATCACATTAAATTTATATGTACCTATAACAATGACAAACCAATCACGAGGCTCGGAGTCATCTGTAACTCCTTTGTTAGGAACTCGTCTATGTCTAACAGGCCGTGAAGAGACCACTTCATCAGGTGATGAAGATGGAATGACAGGCAGTGAAGAGGCGACTCTATCAGATGATGAATGAAGATGGAATAACATGCTCGATCAGATGAAGAAGATGAAGCTTGTGCCTGAGACTGAGCGTATGATGATTTCTCTGGAGCAAGTGAAGAGCTCCCTTTGGCTGATTTAAATAGATTTTAACCTGATTTTGCTTGGGCGTCTCTACATACATGATGAAAAAAGTACAGGCAGTAAAAAACTAGCAGACAATAAGTTCAGCAGTAAAAAGCTAGCAGACAATAAGTTGAATGAAATAGCGAAAAAGATTATTTTCAAAACCAATAGATAAAATTAGAATACATGTACAACTGTTTAAACAGGGTAATCACAATTCACAAGTCAGTTATATATCTGTTCGGTAATCAATTTCACGGAAAGTTCAAATATATGATTGGTAATTCAACCAAAACCCTCTAAACAACTCGAACTTGTTTCACCAACACCATGTACTGTTCTCTCATTTTTCAAATAAACTACATACACAATGCTCTCTTGCACATGAAACCAAATGACTCATTGACTCCTAAATATAATTCAGTAGAGAACTCTTATTTTACACTGATAAGAGGTAATTCAACACTAAAAAGGGACTAATTTGCCCTTTAAAAAAAACTACTCAAAAGAAAGGACAAATTTAGACTAATAAGAGCTATTCATATCAAATGGTTTAGTGTCGATGTCGATCCCAATAGCTTCCGCAACTGTTTTTTATCCTATCAAGCCCACATACAATATTTAGGTTAATACTAGACCAAACAACAATTATAAATATCAAAATTAAGTGCACGCAATATGAGTACACTCTAAATACAAACCAATTGAACACAAATTTAACAAAAAATAAACGCCAAAATTCAAGTACTTTACAAAGTTTTAACAACCAAAACATCAGATATCCAACACATTAGAAACTGAAATTTTCCATATTGGACAATGGGAAAGATGGACAATTAAGTTAGTCTATCACAGAGATGAAAAAAACATTGGATTATTAGCTTAATCTACTAGATCTAAACCTTATTATGCATAAGGAGAACTCTTAACAGATGATAGTGGCCAGTGTGAGACTTTGCTTCAATACTGTCTGTAATGAGGCCTTGATATTATTATCTGTACTTGTAGCCTAAAAATTGCTAACCATACCTGACCGTAGACTAAATACATAGCTTCTTAAGAATAAGCAGAAATTAAGAATTTACGGTTTATGCCTTTTCGAGTTGATCACACCATTAATTAAGCCTACAAGTTACATCTAAAATTGTATTTTAGGAAATAAAACAATTAGACCAGAAAATTGGGGAAAATAACTACACAGCCAAACATGCATGAACCCTAGCAAATAGAAAGGTAAATTAGACGGCTAGAAACCAGAAATTGACGGCATAACTAAGTGAACTCAACGGCTAAACCAGTAAAATCAACGGCTAAAATCGGTAATTTACATCCAAAACGCACACATGCATGCCTTAAATCAGTGAAATCGACGGCTAAACTAGCGAAATCAACGGCGAAAATTATTGAAATCAACGGCTAAACCAGTAAAATTGATGGCTAAAATCAGTGATTTAAAATGATCTCCATCCTATACACATACATGCACGCCTTAAATCACTGAAATCGACGGCTAATTTAGAATTTTGAAATGTAACTCACCAAAAGCTGCTCGTCCTGTACGAGTTCCATAGAGAAGAAATCTTTTCTGCTCGTATTCTCTTTCACTGAACTTCAAAATTTGTGGAGAAGAATTTTTTTTAAGAGATTGATTAAGGGAAAGAGAGAACTGAAAGATTTACGGGAAAGAAGGAATTAGGGGAAAGCGGGATTAGTCGCGGGAAATATGTGGAGACGGACATAATAAATATAATTGAAAGACAATAGTGGCGATTGAGCCGCCGTAACTTAGAGCACAACCCCTGTTATTGAAATTATTAATATGGCGTCTAAAAAAATGCCGTAATATGCTTTATTTTGCGGCGGTTCAGTTCAACCGCATAATATAACCGCCCTAATAACCCCTTTTTCTGTAGTGATTTTTTTTTTTTTTGGGTGCAAAAGATAATATTCATATATATTAACTACTGTATATAGAGAGTGGCCCATTACATGTGGCTGTCTTGTCATACTTAGTTAAATTATTACTAAACAAAATTACATTAGTACTACTACTACCATTAGCATACAGCGTAGTATTCACATGGGTACTACTACTAGAGTCATCCATTGTTTGGCTTATATTTACATCCAAAAGGTGCTTCCTATCAGCTTCCAGAGCTTGATTGACAAAAGGGGGTGCCACATTATAAACATAGGGATCAGTCATATGAACAAAAAGTTTGGCTGCCTTTGCTAGTTGATCCGCGACCATATTCTATTCTCTGTATGCGTGTCGGACTTACGGATTATTAAGCTGGTTGAGGAGGTACCTGCAGTCATTTATCATATTGGAATGTGGAAAATTGTCAGTTTGTAATAAAGTAATAATCTGTTTAGCATCTAACTCAACTTCTATAGGCATCAAATGATGTTGTAAGGCTAAGGTAAGGCCTTTGAGCAAAGCATATAATTCAGTTGATATTGTAGATCCCTTTTGTATGGCTTGTGCGAATCCCAGTATCCATTCCCCCCTTGAATTACGGATTGCTCCTCTAATTCCATTTGCATTGATGCCATTAGCACCATCCGTATTTAACTTGTAGAAGTTTTCCGCAGGTGCATGCCATCCAAGATTAGAGGAACGTTTTTTCCTAGGTTTATGAAAATGAACCGTGAGATATGCAAACTCAGTAGCTTGAAAGGTTGTTGTAGAAACATTAACCTTTTCCTTTAAAGAGTTAAAGTTGTTTTTGTTGCGAGTTATCCAAATATTCCACAAGCTTACAGGAAGGAAAGTGTTTGAGCTTAAGTTATGCGGGAGATGAACATTTTTATAGTTAATTAAAGTATATAACCAATTCTTAGTCCCTTGTATGGTATGTATATATCTTATTAGATTTGTAAGACCTAATTCTTCCCAAAAGTCAGTAGCATTTTTGCATTCAAGGAAAATGTGACGAATATTTTCTTCAGTATCTTGGCAGTATGTACAAGAGTTATTTTGTATAAGTCGTATATATGTAAGGTATGCTTTAGTGATTAATCGATCATGGCATAACTACCAAATGAAGGTTTTAATTTTAGGTAAGATTGGTAGTTTCCATATCCATTTAAAGTTAACAGGTTATGTAGGTGAATTTGTAAATTTGTCCAGTAAGATATGGTAGCTAGAGTTTGTTGTAAATGCACCTACTTGCGTTAAACCCCAGTAGGGAGTGTCTGGAGTATTTTTACTATGCGAAATATAAATATTGTGTATTGATTGTATGATATCTTTAGGTAAATCAAAAGGCATTACCTTCCAATCCCAATTGGCATTATTAAGGAAAGATGAAACTTTAATATTATTTTGATTTATTGGAAGAGGCCCTTGTATTAGTGAACGAATTGTTGTACCAGGATTTAACCAGGGATCATTCCAAAAGCTAATATGCTGGCCTGTTCCAATTTTTCATTGTAAGCCAGTTTGGCACAACTTCCATCCTTTTAATATATTAGACCAAATTCTGGAGTATTTGAAGCCTTTTTTTCTATTCAAGTATTTATTAAGAAGAATCTAGGCCCATATAGCGTTAGGCGATTAAAGACTCTCCAAGCCAAATTAGCCAGGAATGCTGAATTTTTAACGTCAAGTTTTTGTATTCCTAAACCCCCTGCTTCTTTTGGCTTAGTAACAGTATCCCATTTTAGAAGGTGAATTCTTTTCCTTGTAGCAGTTGTGTCCCAGAGAAAATTACGCTGGTATTGATTCATTTTGGATATAATTGCCGGAGGAATAGTAATTTATTGCATAATATGATTAGGTAAGTTATTCAAGGTTGATTTAATTAACGTAGCTCTTCCTGCAAGTGTGAGAAAATTAGTTTTCCAACCAGCAAGTCTATTTTTGAAATTATCAAGCAAGAATTGGAAATCTTCTTTTTTTGGTATTCCTTGGAACATTGGAAATCCTAAATATTTCCCAAAGGAGCTGCCTTCTTTAATACTAAAGGAGTCTGTAACAAACTGTTTATCTTCCTGCTTACAATTTTTAGAGAAATAAATCTTTGATTTATCAAAATTGATTTGTTGTCCTGAATGATGCATGAAATCATTTAACACATCCACAATGGCATGTCAGCCTTTAGCGGTAACTTTTGAGAACAAAATAATATCATCTGCAAAGAACAACTGTGAAAGTGGTGGTCCATTTGTGGTGATCTTAATAGGTTGCCATTGGAGATATTCTACATCTCTTAAAATCTTATGGGATAACATTTCCATAGACATTATAAATAAGTAGGGAGATAAAGGATCCCCTTGCCTTATTCCTCTAGTTGGTGAAAAATATTGAGTCTTGGTTCCATTAATGATGATTGATATAGAACTTGTAGTAATACATGACATAATTAAAGAGATCATTGGTTCTGGAATATTAAAGTAGTGTAGAGTTTTTTTAATGAAAGACCATTCCAGTCGATCAAATGCTTTTTCCAAATCCAATTTTAGGATCATGGATGAAGATTTACCTTTCATTTTTGCAAGATAATTAAGGGCCTCTTGGACAATTATGGCATTATCAGAAGCCCTTTTACCTTGCTGAAAGCTAGTTTGTGTAGGTCCTATTATTTTATTGACAATAGGTTTAAGATGATTAACAATTATTTTGGTAATGAGCTTATACAAAGTATTACAAAGACTAATGGGACGAAATTGTTGTATAGTAGAACGATGTTTTGTTTTAGGTATTAAACAAACTAAAGTTTTATTTAATTCATCAGGGATAATGTTAGTCAAGAAAATATCTTCACAAAAACTAATAACCTTTTTGCTAACTGCTGTCCAATATTTTTGGAAAAAGCAGGGGTGTAAACCATCCGGCCCTGGAGCCTTATAAGGTTTAAAGCTAAACATGGCATCTTTTATTTCATCATGGCTAAATGGAGCAGTGATAATTTGAATATCATTATAAGAAGGGTTCCAAGTGCTAGGGCTCCAATACGAATTAGGACTGCTTAACTCTTTAGTACTAAACAAAGATTGATAATATTGAAGGATTAAATTATGCAACTGGGCTGGTTCATCAACCCAATTCCCAACCGTATCCTTTAAAGCAGTTATTTATTTCTACGTCTTCAATGTAGAGTGGACATGTGGAAAACCTTAGTATTAGCATCTCCATCGCTTATCCAATTAATACGAGATTTTAGTTTCCAAAATTCTTCTTCCACACGAAGGAGATTACTGTATTCAAGATTGAGCTTTATTTCCAAATTTTGGAGGAAAAGACTGGTTGGATAATGAACTGATGCTTGTATGCCTCCCAGTCTTGCTAAGATTTTCCTTTTTTCTTGGAATATATTTCCAAACGTTTGTTTATTCCACCTAGATGCTACAACTTGGAATTTATAAATAGTAGGAAACAGTAGTTGATCTTCAGACCAAATATTATGAACTAATTGTTAAAATTGTGGATGTGAGGCCCACATAGTTTCAAAACGGAAATTATTTACCGGGTGACTCAATAAACATGGTGGCCTAAAGCAAAATTTCAATATGAGGCCTTAAGCTTTTTGTTAGAGAAGAAAGTACTTCATATATAATTTTGTTTGAAATTTATTTTTTTAGTTTTTTTATATGCAAAGTTATTAATAATTTTTATAATTATTTTTTTCTAATATTTTTTTTTATTTCTAATATATTTAACCCATTTAATCTCTCTTGAGACATACTTTCTAGTGTATGATTTTTAATTTATTGATTGTCAAAAATTATAAAGGGTTCTTTTTGGGATTGTATTAAAGTTTCAATCTTTTTCGAGTTATGAATAATCAAACTCTTTCTCAATTTATGATCTAGAGAGTGATTCCCAAAAAGACTATTCTTTTTCTCAATTTATGCTGAACGGTTCAATCTTTTTTTTTCTTTTGCTATGAAAAATTGTACTTTCTCATTTAAAACACTAAATATTTTTTTAAAAGCAAAATAACATATACACTTATTAGGAAAATTTGGTGCCCCAGAAAATAGGGGGCCTAAAGTAGCTGTTTTAGCAGCTTTACCCTTGGCCGCCACTGGTTTTTTAATGTATATCTGCCGACGAAAGGCCTGGGTTTTAAAGAATGTGTCAATAAATATATTGAGATAAGTTCAAAGGACAAGAATTGTATAACAGAAAAGAGATGAATTTGCAATTAATAAGAGAGTGAAAGCTAAAGGTTTCATCAAAATGCTACATGTTCAACATTGTCGTCATTTTCTTGAGCTTCATTATTATGGAGAAAATCAAATAATGTAGAGGTCAGAATTTGCTTTAAGAATTTAGCATATAAAACTAAAAATTTACACTATAAGTGCGATTTTAATTTCTTGTAGCAATAAGTAACTTAAATTATTTTTCATATTGTTGATTCACATGTACTATAGCTAGTTATTGATAGTTAGCATTTAAGCGATGTGACAGTCTAAGAATTCTTTACACCGTAATGACTAATTTTGGAAAGACAAAATTACATAATAATGTAATTCTTAAGTTGACCTTGCATTATTTTAGTCCACTTACAAGTTTGCAAATGTATAGCCAAATATCAATAAGCTAAGATCTGAATTTTTTTTCCAGTTTTTTTATTATGTATATCTTCAAGCGTGAAACATTTCCATTCTCCTTTTTCATCAAGTTTCTACATACCTATCACAACTACGAAAATTCAAAAACAGACGCGAGAAATCTAAAATCTCATCTTCTTTAATGCTAATCTTATTAGTTTTTTAATATGATTTTGTGAGAAATTTGGAGTGGGTATTTTTGAACTTATTATAATTAGTCTAAGTAGACTGTATACAAAGTTTGAAGTCATTTAGTGGATATTCGGAAT